TTGGGCTAAACTCAAAGCATTGGAATGGATAAATCCTACTGAAGTCTGTAGGGGAAAACTCATTCCCTTAATTCTTCCAGCTTCTAGAATCTACCTGCTTCCTTATGACCCCTTTCCATCATCTCCAAAGCAAGCAGTGTAGCATCTTCAAATCTATCTTCTTCTGCTTCACTTTTCCACTTTAAATAAACCTTGAGAATACACTGAGTCCACATGGACAGTGCAGTTTAAGATCAACTGATTAGCAAAACTAATTTTTATCTACAATCTTAATCACCTTATCATGTAACAAAATATATTGATAAGTTCTGGGGACTAAAATGTGAACATCATTGGGGGGATCCCTATTCTGCTACTCAGTTATTTAGATGAGAAGTGGGGAAAGTCAACCTACCTTCTATTCCTAAGTTGCAAAATGTACTTTGGGATCTAAGAGATGTTTAAAAATATGTTTTGGAACAAATGGTAAATATTATACATAAATAATGGAATATTAATGTCCGTATTTTACAACAAAAATGTGTGCAAAGGAAGGATATCTGATGAGAATAATCTCTTAGATAAAAAAGACAGCTACATGTCATGTGATAGGAGAATGACAGCAAATTAATAAAAGATATTATAAGAATATTACATACACAGAAATGATCAAAAGATTTAACATTCACTTATTATAATAGCTTTATTGAAATAAAATTCATATGCTATGTATTTCATCAATTTATAGTGCACAATTAATTTCATACACACAGTTGTGCAATCATCAACACAATCTGAGTTTACTACATCTGTATCCCCTCAAAACAAAATCCCATTCCCATCAGCAATCACTCCTCATTCCTCTCTCCCACTGTCACCCCCAGCTCTAGGCAAACACTAATCTATATTCTATATATTAGCATTTATAGATTGCATTTCTGGGCTTTTTTACAAAAAAAAAATCATGCAATATGTAGTCTTTTGTAACTTGCTTCTGTCACTTACCACAGGGTTCTTAAAGATAATTCCATTGATGGGAATGTAAATTAGTTCAACCATCGTGAAAGACAATGTGGAGATTCCTCAAAGACCTAAAGGCAGAAATACTATTCCACCCTGCAATCCCATTATTGAGTATATGCCCAAAGGAATATAAATCATTCTGTTATCAAGACACATGCACACATATATTTATTGCAACACTATTCACAATAGTGAATAGTGCAGCCACCCTAAATATCCATCAATGATGAAACTGGATATACAAAATACGATACATATACACGATGGAATACTATGCAGCTGTAAAAATGAATGAGATCATGTTCTTTGCCGGAACATGGATGGAGCTGAAGGTCATTATCCTTAGCAAACTAACACAGGAAGAGAAAACTAAATAAGGCATGTTCTCACTTCTAAGTGGGATTTGAAAGTCATATTTTTCTTGAGACCAAGAGATACGAACATTTTTTTGTCATACATGGTTTTCTCTAGATAAGATTTACATACAATGAAATGCAATGTTTTGAAGTATATGTTTTGATGCGTTTTGATACGTGTATATATTCATGTAGCCACTAACAAATTCAAGATGTAGAAAACTCAACAACCCAGAAGTTTTGTCATGCCCCTTTTCAGTTCATTCTCCCAGATACAACTACTTTTCTGATTTTTATGATTCAATTTTAGTTTTCCAATTCTAGAACTTGATTATGATTGATCAAAGCAATTATTCATTTGTGTCTGGACTCTGTTTTGAGATTTATCATGTTGTTTTGTGTATCATTAGTTCATTATTTTCCTTTGCAGCAGGGTGTTTGCTGAAAAGCATCCTATAATGTTTATGGTGACAACTTTTGTCTTTTAAATGCAGTGTAATTATATTTAATCTTATTAAGAGCTTTGAATTTAAGTTTATACTACTGCAGTTTACTTTGTCTCCTCTATAACTTTCTTCTCAATTTTCTGTATTATTTTGACCTAATCAAGAAGTTTTTTGCGTGTAATATTAAATTCTATCCCCTTTTTTGGCTTTAAAAAAAATCAGACTATCTACAGGGCACTTTCAGTTTCTCACACAGCAAAATTGAGCAGAAGGCATAAACATTTCTGATACAGCCTCTGCCCCAATCATGCCTAACTTCCTTTATTATTAACATTGTCCCACCAGAGTGTTTCATTCTTTGCAACTGATGAATCTGCACTGACACATCATTATCATTCAAAGTACATAGGGTTTATTCTTGTTATACAACAGGGTTTTGTAATGAGATTCAGTTGGATTCATTCTTGGTGTTGTATGTTCCGTGGGTTTGTACAACGTATAAAGACATCTCTGCACTCTTATAATATCATGTAGAATAGTTTCATTGCCCTAATATTGCCTGCCCTCTACCTATTCATCCTTCCCACACTCCTAATACATTTTTGCTATCTCAATAACTTTGCCTTTATTGCAATCATGCATTATTAGTATTTTCAGATTGGCTTCTTTCACTTAATAATATGCATTTAAGCCTCCCCCATGTCTTTTCATGGGTTGATAGCTTATTTGCTTTTAGTGCTGAACAATATTCAATTGTCTGAATATACCACAGTTTATTTATTCATAGACCTACTGAGAGACATCTTGCTTGTTTCCAACTTTGGTGATGCAGAGAAACCTAACATAAAAATCTGAATGCAGGATTTTGCATACACATAAGTTTTTTACTCCTTTGGGTAAATATCAAGTAGTGTAATTGCTGTATCGAATGATAAAATTATGTTTAGTACTTGAGAAACTGCCAAACTGTCATCTATGGTGGCTGTGCCATTTTTCATTCCCAGCAACAATGAATGAGTGTTCCATTTGCTCTACAACCCTCATCAGCCTTTGGCATTATTGGTATTATGGATCTGGTCATTTTAATAGATAGGCAGTGGTATATCATTGTTGCTTTAATTTGTATTCTTCTGGTGACCCGTGATATGGCATATCTTTTCATAGGCTTACATGTCATCTGTATGTCTTCTTTGGTGAGATGTCCATTAAGAACTTTAGCCTATTTCTTTAGTCTGGTTGTTTTCTATTTTTTCTTTATATATATATATATATGTGTGTGTGTGTGTGTGTGTGTGTGTGTGTGTGTGTGTGCGCGCGCGCGTGTGTGTGTGTGTACATATATATGTACATATATATACACACATACATATGTGTGTGTGCATATATATATACATATATATATATGTAAACTCTTGTCACAGATTATTTTGTCACCCATGTACTAAGCCTAGTACCCAATAGTTATTTTTTGTGCTCCTCTCCCTCCTCCCACCCTCCAATCCCCAAAAGTGGTATTGTTGTTGTGTGTGCTATTTTCCTCTATGTGTATGTTGCTTCCCTCTGTGCCCATGTGTTCTTATCATTTAGCTCCTACTTATAAGTGAGAACGTGCAGTATTTGGTTTTCTGTTCATGCATTAGTTTGCTAAGGATAATGGCCTCCAGCTCCATCCATGTTCCCACAAAAGACATAATTTCATTCTTTTATATGGCTGCATAGTATTCCATGGTATATATGTAAAACAAATTTTCTTTATCCGATCTATCATTGATAGGTATTTAGTTTATTCCTTGTTGTTTGTTTTCTTCTTGTCAGTTTGTTCTCTGTCTATTTTAGATAACAGTCCTTTATCAGATATTTTTGGTCAATCTTTTCTGCAAATCTGTGGCTTGTCTTTTTATTATTTTGATATTATCTGTCACAGCAAAGAAATGTTTAAGTTTACAAAATCTAGATATCAACCCTTTCTTTCAAGGATGATACTTCTGATGTTATATCTAAAAAGTCATCACCAAAGTCATGGTCATATAGATTTTCTGTAATGTTATCATGTAAGAACTTTTTAGTTTTATATTTTAGATTTAGGCCTATGATTTTAAGATCATTTTTGTAAAGGGTATAAAACCCAGATATAGATCAGGATATGGATTATTTGACATTGGTGAAGAATTAATTTGTGGCAGATTAATTACAATTAATTATTCTGTGGAAGAATAAATTATAAAATATGATAAATTGCTTCAATTTATTTGTTGACTATACTGTTCTCTATTTGTCTATTAATGCTGCTTATTTTTTTGGATAAAATCCTCCATATCTTTCTCCATCCATGCAAAGGTAGAATTCATAAAGGTTTCTATCTTGCAAATTCTATTAATGTTTAATTATTTAAAGACATAATAAATAATATTGCTTAAAATCTTAATATATTTGCCTGCCTTATTCTTGCCATACTTTCAGTTTCACTTTGGATGAAACTGTAATTGATGATTTAGCTGCATCTTTTTTTTTTAATATATATACTTTTTATTGCGCTTTAGTTTCTGGGGTACATGTGAAGAACATGCAAGATTGTTGCATAGGTACATACATGGCAGTGTGGTTTGCTGCCTCCATCCCCATCACCTATATCTGGCATTTTTCCTCATGTTATCCCTCCACAACTCCCTACTCCTGCTGTCGGTCCCCTAGTCCCCCGAAACAGACCCCAGTGTGTGATGCTCCCTTCCCTGTGTCCATGTGTTTTTATTGTTCAACACCCACCTATGATTGAGAACATGCAGTGTTTGATTTTCTGTTCTTGTGTCAGTTTGCTGAGAATGATGGTTTCCAGATTCATCCATGTCCCTACAAAGGACACAAGCTCATAGTTTTTTATGGCTGCATAGTATTCCATGGTGTATATATGCCACATTTTCCTTGTGCAGTCTATCATCAATGGGCATTTGGGTTGCTTCCAGGTCTTCCCTATTGTAAACAGTGCCTCAATGAACATACGTGTGCATGTGTCTTTATAAGAGAATGATTTATAATCCTTTGGAAATATACCTAATAATGGGATTGCTGGGTCAAATGGAATTTCTATTTCTAGGTCCTTGAGGAAGTGCCACACTGTCTTCCACAATGGTTGAACTAATTTACACCCCCACAAACAGTGTAAAAGTGTTCCTATTTCTCCACATCCTCTCCAGCGTCTGTTGTCTCCAGGTTTTTTAATGAGCTCCATCGGCACTGGGTATGACCTGTCAGCCTCTACATTCTCTCCTGACGGAAGAGTTTTTCAAGTTGAATATGCTATGAAGGCTGTGGAAAATAGTAGTACAGCTATTGGAATCAGATGTAAAGATGGTGTTGTCTTTGGGGTAGAAAAATTAGTCCTTTCTAAACTTTATGAAGAAGGTTCCAACAAACGACTTTTTAATGTTGATCGGCATGTTGGAATAGCAGTAGCAGGTTTGTTGGCAGATGCTCGTTCTTTAGCAGACATAGCCAGAGAAGAAGCTTCCAACTTTAGATCTAACTTTGGCTACAACATTCCACTAAAACATCTTGCAGACAGAGTGGCCATGTATGTGCATGCATATACACTCTACAGTGCTGTTAGACCTTTTGGCTGCAGTTTCATGTTAGGGTCTTACAGTGTGAATGACGGTGCGCAACTCTACATGATTGACCCATCAGGTGTTTCATACGGTTATTGGGGTTGTGCCATTGGCAAAGCCAGGCAAGCTGCAAAGACGGAAATAGAGAAGCTTCAGATGAAAGAAATGACCTGCCGTGATATTGTTAAAGAAGTTGCAAAAATAATTTACATAGTACATGATGAAGTTAAGGATAAAGCTTTTGAACTAGAACTCAGCTGAGTTGGTGAATTAACTAATGGAAGACATGAAATTGTTCCAAAAGATATAAGGGAAGAAGCAAAGAAATATGCTAAGGAATCTCTGAAGGAAGAAGATGAATCAGATGATGATAATATGTAACACTGACTCCAGCATCTATTGTATTTTAAATTTCTACTCCACTGTAACTATTTAGCCCTGTGGATTATAAATACTCACTGTCCAATTTTCATTAAATTTTTGTCTTATAACAAAAAAACATAATAATAATCACCATTCTAACTGGAGTGAGGTGGTATCTCAATGTAGTTTTGATTTGCATTTCTCTAATGACCAGTGATAATGAGCATTGTTTCATATGTTTGTTGGTCTCATACATGTCTTTTGAAAAGTGTCTATTCATATCCTCCCCCCACTTTTGAATGGGTTGGTTTGTTTATTTTCTTGTAAATCTGCTTTAGTTCTTTGTAGATTCTGGATATTAGCCCTTCGTCAGATGAGTAGATTGCAAAAATTTTTTCCCATTCTGTTGGTTGCTGGTTCACACTAATGATTGTTTCTTTTGCTGTACAGAAGCTCTGGAGGTTAATTAGATCCCATTTGTCTATTTTGGCTTTCGTTGTCAATGCTTTTGGTGTTTTAGTCATGAAGTCCTTGCCTATGACTATGTCCTGAATGGTTTTGCCCAGGCTTTCTCCTAGGGTTTTTATGGTGTTAGGACTTACGTTTAAATCTTTAATCCATCTGGAGTTGATTTTATTTGTATGGTTTCAGGAAGGGGTCCAGTTTCTGCTTTCTGCACATTGCTACCCGGTTTTCCCAACATCATTTATTAAACAGGGAATCCTTTCCCCATTGCTTGTTTTTGTCAGGTTTGTCAAAGATCAGATGGTTGCAGATCTGTGGCATTGCCTCCGAGGCCTCTGTTCTGTTCCATTGGTCTATATCTCTGTTTTCATACCAGTATCATGCTGTTTTGATTACTGTAGCCTTCTAGTATAGTTTGAAATCAGGTATTGTGATGTCTCCAGCTTTGTTCCTTTTGCTTATTATTGAATTGTCTACACGGGCTCTCTTTTGGTTCCATATGAAGTTTAAGGTGGTTTTTTCCAGTTCTGTGAAGAGAGTCATAGAGAGCTTGATGGGGATAGCATTGAATCTATAAATTACTTTGGGCAGTATGGCCATTTTCACGATATTGATTCTTCCTAACCATGAACATGGAATGTTTCTCCATCTGTGTCCTCTCTTATTTCCTTGAGCAGTGGTTTGTAGTTCTCCTTGAAGAGGTCATTTACGTCCTTTGTTAATTGTATTCCTAGGTATTCTATTCTCTTTGTGGCAATTGTGAATGGCAGTTCTTTCTTGACTTGGCTCTCTTTAAGTCTGTTATTGGTGTATAGGAATGCTTGTGATTTCTGCACATTGACTTTGTATCCTGAGACTTTGCTGAAGTTGCTTATCAGTTTCAGGGGATTTGGGGATGCAACAATGGGGTCTTCTAAATATACAATCATGTCATCTGCAAATAGAGACAATTTGACTTCCTACTTTTCTAATTGAGTACGCTTTATTTCTTTTTCTTGCCTGGTTGCTCTGGCTAGAACTTCCAATACTATATTGAATAGGAGTGGTGAGAGAGGGTATCCTTTTCTATTGCCAGATTTCAAAGGGAATGCTTCCAGTTTTGCCCATTCAGTATGATATTGGCTGTTAGTTTGTTGTAAATAGCTTTTATCATTTTGAGATACATTCCGTTGATACCTAGTTTCTTGAAAGCTTTTAGCATAAAGGGCTGTTGAATTTTGTCGAAGGCCTTCTCTGCATCTATTGAGATAATCATGTGGTTTTTGTCTTTGGATCTGTTTATTTGGTGAATTACGTTTATAGACTTGAGTATGTTGAACCAGCCTTGCACCCCTGGGATGAAGCCTACTCGATCATGATGAATAAGCTTTTAGATGTGTTGTTGCAACCGGTTTGCAATATTTTATTGAAGATTTTTGCATCAATGTTCATCATGGATATTGGCCGGAATTTTTCTTTTCCTGTTGAATCTCTGCCAGGCTTTGGTATCGGGATGATGTTGGTCTCATAAAATGATTTGGGAAGGATTCCTTCTTTTTGGGTTGTTTGGAATAGTTTCAGAAGTAGTGGTGCCAGCTCCTCTTTGTATGTCTGGTAGAATTCAGCTGTTAACCCTACTGGACCTGAGCTTCTTTTTGGGTGGTGGGCTATTCATTGTTGCCTCAACTTCAGCCCTTGTTATTGGTCTATTCAGGGTTTCAACTTCTTCCTGGTTTAGGCTTGGGAGGGTGCAAGTGTCCAGGAATTTATCCATTTCTTCCAGATTTACTGGCTTATGTGCATAGAGTTGTTTGTAGTAATCTCTAATGGTAGTTTGTATTTCTGTAGAATCTGTGGTTATATCCCCTTTATCATTTTTTATTGCATCTATTTCATTCTTCTCTCTTTTCTTTTTTATTAATCTGGCTAGTGGTCTATTTTGATGATCTTTTCAAAAAAACCAGCTCCTGGATTTATTAACCTTTTGAAGGGTATTTTTCTGTCTCTATCTCCTTCAGTTCTGCTCTGATCTTAGTTATTTCTTGTCTTCTAGCTTTTGAGTTTTTTTTATCTTGCTCCTCTAGCTCTTTCAATTTTGATGATAGGGTGTCGATTTTAGATCTTTCCTTGCTTCTCATGTGGGCACTTATTGGTATAAATTTTCCTTTAGACACTGCTTTTAATGTGTCCCAGAGATTCTGGTATGTTGTGTCTTCATTCTCATTGGTTTTTAAGCACATCTTTGTTTCTGCCTTCCTTTCATTGTTTATCCAGTCAACATTCAAGAGCCAGTTGTTCAGTTTCTGTGAAGTTTTACAGTTCTGAATTAGTTTCTTAATCCTGAGTTCTAATTTGATTGCACTGTGGTCTGAGAGACTGTTATGATTTCCATTGTTTTGCATTTGCTGAGGACTTACTTCCAATTGGACTTACTTCCAATTACGTGGTCAATTTTAGAGTAGTGTGATGTGGTCCTGAGGAGAATGTATATTCTGTGGATTTGGGGTGGAGAGTTCTGTAAATGTCTATTAGGTTTGCTTGGTCCAGGTCCGAGTTCAAGTCCTGGATATTCTTGTTAATTATCTGTCTCGTTGATCTGTCTAATATTGACAGCAGAGTGTTAAAGTCCGCCACTATTATTATGTGGGAGTCTAAGTCTCTTTGTAGGTCATTAAGAACTGCTTTATGTATCTGGGTGCTCCTGTATTGGGTGCATATATATTTAGGATAGTTAACTGTTCTTGTGGCATTGATCCTTTTACCATCATGTAATGCCCTTCTTTGTCTCTTTTTATCTCTTTTGGTTTAAAGTCTATTTTATCAGCGATTAGGATTGCAACTTCTGCTTCTTTTTGCTCTCCATTTTCTTGGTAAATCTTCCTCCATCCCTTTATTTTGAGTCTATGTGTGTCCTTGCATATGAGATGGGTTTCCTGAATACAGCACACCAATGGATTTTGACTTGTTATCCAATTTGCCAGTCTGTGTCTTTTGATTGGGGCATTTAGCCCATTTACATTTAAGGTTAATATTGTTATGTGTTAATTTGATCCTGACATTTGGATGCTAGCTGGTTGTTTTGCCCATTAGTTGATGCCGTTTCTTCATTGTGTCGATGCGCTTTACCATTTGGTACATTTTTGTAGTGGCTGGTACTGGTTGTTCCTTTCTATGTTTAGTGCTTCTTTCAGGAGCTATTCCTGTAGGGCAGGCCTGGTGGTGATAAAATCTCTCAGCTATTGCTTGTTGGTAAAGAATTTTATTTCTCCTTCATTTATGAAGCTTAGTTTGGCTGGATATGAAATTATAGGTTGAAAGTTTTTTTCTTTAATGATGTTGAATATTGGCCCCCGCTCTCTTCCGGCTTGTTGGGTTTCTGCTTAGAGATACACTGTGAGTCTGATGGGCTCCCCTTTGTAGGTAACCCATAGGAGCATCTTTTGTGAAAGCACATTTTACAAGCTGTATATTACACCATTATGGTAATTTTCAGTAATCTGCTGAAGAATTTAGTACAATGTGTTAATTTTGTTTCACTTATATATATATTTTTTGTTTGGTTGGTTTTTTGTTTGGTTTTTTTAATTGCATTTTACGTTTTGGGGTACATGTGAATAACATGCAACATTGTTGCATAGGTACATACGTGGCAGTGTGATTTGCTGCCTTCCTCCCCATCACCTATATCTGGCATTTCTCCCTATGCTATCTCTCCCCAACTCCCCACCCCCCACTGTTCCTCCCCTATTTCCCCCCAACAGACCTCAGTGTGTAGTGCTCCCCTCCCTGTATCCATGTGTTCTCATTGTTCAACACCCGCCTATAAGTGAGAACATGCAGTGTTTGGTCTTCTGCTTTTCTGTCAGTTTGCTGAGAATGATGGTTTCCATGTTCATCCATGTCCCTACAAAGGACATGAACTCATTGTTTTTTATGGCTGCATAATATTCCATGGTGTATATGTGCAACATATTTCCTGTCCAGTCTATTATTGATGGGCATTTGGGTTGGTTCCAGATCTTTGCTATTGTAAACAGTGCTGAAATGAACATTCGTGTTCACGTGTCCTTATAGTAGAATGATTTATAATCCTGTGGATATATACCCAGTAATGGGATTGCTGGGTCAAATGAAATTTCTATTTCTAGCTCCTTGAGGAATCACCACACTGTCTTCCACAATGGTTGAACTAATTTACACTCCCACCAACAGTGTAAAAGTGTTCCTATTTCTCCACATCCTCTCCAGCATCTGTTGTCTCCAGATTTTTTAATGATCGCCATATCTAGAAGACCCCATCGTCTCAGCCCAAAATCTCCTGAAATTGATAAGCAACTTCAGCAAAGTCTCAGGATACAAAATCAATGTGCAGAAATCACAAGCATTCCTATACACCAATAACAGACTTAAAGAGAGCCAAATCAAGAATGAACTGCCATTCACAATTGCCACAAAGAGAATAAAATACCTAGGAATACAACTAACAAGGAACATAAAGGACCTCTTCAAGGAGAACTACAAGCCACTGCTCAGCAAAATAAGAAAGGACACAAACAGATGGAGAAACATTCCATGTTCGTGGTTAAGAAGAATCAATATCGTGAAAATGCCCATACTGCCCAAAGTAATTTACAGATTCGACGCTATCCCCGTCAAGCTACCAATGACCTTCTTCACATAACTGGAAAAAAACACCTTAAACTTCATATGGAACCAAAAGAAAGCCCACATAGCCAAGTCAATTCTAAGCAAAAAGAACAAAACAGGAGGCATCACACTACCAGACTTCAAACTATACTACAAGGCTACAGTAATCAAAACAGCATGGTACTGGTACCAAAACAGAGATATAGACCAATGGAACAGAATAGAGGCCTCGGAGACAACACAACATATCTACAACCATCTGATCTTTGACAAAGCAGACAAAAACAAGCAATGGGGAAAGGATTCCCTGTTTAATACATGGTGTTGGGTAAACTGGCTAGCCATGTGCAGAAAGCAGAAACTGGACCCCTTCCTGACACCTTACACTAAAATTAACTCCAGATGGATTAAAGACTTAAACATAAGACCTAATAGCATAAAAACCCTAGAAGAAAATCTAGGCAAAACCATTCAGGACATAGGAGTAAGCAGGAACTTCATGACCAAAACACCAAAAGCATTGACAACAAAAGCCAAAATAGACAAATGGGACCTAATCAAACTCCACAGCTTCTGCACAGCAAAAGAAACAGTCATTAGAGTGAATCAGCAACCAACAGAATGGGAAAAAATTTTTGCAATCTACCCATCTGACAAAGGGCTGATATCCAGAATTTACAAAGAACTAAAACAGATTTACAAGGAAAAAACAAACAAACCCATTCAAAAGTGGGCAAAGGATATGAACAGACACTTTACAAAAGAAGACATACATGAGGCCAACAAACATATGAAAAAATGCTCATCATCACTGATCATCAGAGAAATGCCAATAACTTATATATTTTAATTGGTTGGTATAATCTTTTTTTGTCTTTGTTTTTGCTTTTGCCCAATTTGTCTGTTTCCTTCCTATTTTCTTGCCTTTTATCTGGAATGATATTCTTCTAAAAAATACATTTCTCTCTCTCTTTTTCTCTCCCTCTCATACTATTTTAGTAATTACTGAAAAACAATCATATCTTTACATGAACATTACCAAGTCTGAATTTAATCAGTGTCTTTTCTCTCCTAATAAGCAGTACTTCTTTTCAAATTACTTGCTGTCATGGACTAAGGCTTTTGTTCTCTCTTCTATGTTTCATCTTACATACATAAATAATATTTTTAACACAATATCTCAGTTTACACATAAGGTTAGTATTTTCCTGTTAAACTATTCCTTCCTGGATTTAAAATCTTCCTTCATGGAACATCTTTCCTCTTAATAAAAACTAATATTTACAACTACTTTAAGTGACTGTGTCTGTATAGTAAACTCTTGTCCATGTTTAAATTGCAGCTTGTTTTATTCTACTGAAGACTGCCCACTTCACTTTTCTTGAAAAAGCATAGAATTCAAGGACAATATTTTACAATTGGCACTTTTAAAATGTGATTCTATTTTATTCTAGCTTCTAGTCTTTCTGTGTTTTAAATTATTATTAATTGTAAGTAATATTTTGTATGGCTCTTTCTGAGAGCAACTCCTTTGAAGTCTGGTAGACATATGTTGCTCCCTTTCATTCCATCTCTAAGGTCTCTTAATATCCCTTTAACTTTTTCTATATCTTTGTCTCTCTCTTTGGTTTTCTCAGTAAATTTGTTGATATCTGGAATTCACTGATTAATTTGGATATGCTACTATGTTTTATCCATTGAGTTTCTAATAAAAATATTATTTTATTTATTTATTGAAGTTATTTTGTTTTCTAACAGCCCTGAAAATTTTTAAACTAATGTTGCAATTTAACTTTAAAATTATTTCTACTTTATACAATAAATATTTATATTATATTTTGTGTCCAATAACTACGATAAAACCAGTGTCTTCGTATGCTGTGCTCTGACATAGCTGTTTCCAGCCTAATTTCCTCCTATAATCAGTAATTTTTGTTGTGTGATCATTTGCTTGTGAACATGTTTTTTCTTCTTATACGTTTTGGTTTTCTATATGAGCAGATTTATTTCAACTATACCTTAAATATAAATTCCTGAAAATACTTTATTCTGCATTAGGCGTCTGCACACACATGTGAGTATTTGTTTGTGTGTGTTACAATCCAGTGTTAGCATAAATTCACAGCATGCCTTCTTCATTTGACATCACTGCTCTTATTGGCAGCTCAGTGAAGTACATTTTTCTTTTCTTCTTAGAAGCTAAATACAGAATTTCCCAAGTTTCATTTAATATGGCAAGTACCTTCATATGCTACAATGAATATTCTACTTGATAACATATTTCAGTGGTGATACCTGTGTGTTAATCTTGCTAACATAATCCAATGCTGCATCTCTGGAAGTTTTTCTAAGCTTCATGGTGTAAACTACCTTTTTAAGAGAATTTCTTCCTTTTTCCTATGATTGACAGACAGGTTTGCATTAATCAGCTTTTCCCATACCCTATTGTGTGGATTTTAGAAGTTTTACATGTTTATTTCTAAATCTTTTATATTACTTAGTGTTTTTCTATGGAGAATTATTTTTTCAATTATTACCTTTCATTTTATATCAGTAATGTATTACTAAAAAATATTAATACAAATATAGTACTACTTTCTTAAAATTGTTTAAATTTCTTAAAATTGATTTTTAATTACATTATAAAGTAAAACGAAATAATAAAAGACATATATTCACCAAAAAGACATGTTTCAAAATATTCAAAGCAGTACTATACATAATAACCCTGAATGGGAAACACCGAAATGTCTGGCAATGAGGGAATGGATAAATTAGTCATTATATATTCATACAATACGATACCTTATACATCAATGGAAACAATCAGAAAACTTACAAACATGAGAAATGACTCACAAACGAAATACTGAGAAGACACCTACTTAGTAGCCAAATCTATCTTTCTTATTCTTCAAAGTACACAAACAGATAAAAACTAATTATTTTAGAAATAAATATTGTGTTTACCTTTGGGAGGTATGAATTATAAAGAGGACTAAGGAGGGCGTCTGATGTGCTGATAACATCTGTCTCTTGTTCCAGTTCCATGATTGTTCCAATCATGCTCAATTTGCAAAAGTTCATGAGTTGTACACAGGCAATATATGCACTTTTTGTGTTTAGAATTCAGTAAAAATGTAAAAAGTTGAGGGTAATATTTCATTCATGTTCTTAGAAGTTTAAGACATGAAAAACACCTATCTATTTTAATTTTTCAACACAACACCATGTAATCCTTTATTTTTATGAAATTTTCTGTTTATTTCATATCACATGAGCACAATAGTAATGATTAACAAAGGTGGAAGAGAGTATGGATAGGAATAATGCTCAATTTGTTATTGAGATGTCATTGTAGAAGTATAAAACCACAGAATACATACACTTCCTGTTTGCTCACTTTTCTCTCCTAAAAATGACAAGAGCATGATGAGAGTGACTCTTTCTCACTCATGTGTTATGGTCTCTGGGAACTATGGCATGGAAAGCAGACACAATTCAGAAAAGTTACTTTCCTTTCAGAACTGTTTGACGACACCACACTTTCCTCATGGCATTCTTCATCTCTGTGTTTCTCAACGTGTAGATAAGAGGGTTGAACATGGGAGCAATGATAGTATAAAAGAGGGCAAACACTTTATCTTCTGAGAAAGTTGTGGCCGGTCTAACATAAATGAATAATGCAGGTGTGAAAAACAGGACCACAACCATTACATGAGAACTGCAAGTGGAAAGAGCTTTGCTGCGGCTCTCTGCAGAGTATGCTCTGATGGTATATAATATAAAAACATAAAACAATAGCAAGACAACAAATGTCACCAAAGCAATTAACCCTGAATTAGCAATGACTAAGAGACCTAAGATGTGTATATTAGAACAGGCCAATTTCAGCAAAGGATACACATCACAAAAGTAGTGATCTCATTTGGGCCACAAAATGGTACAAAGGTGGTGAGAAGAAACTGACTGGCAGAATGCATAAATCCCCCAGTACAACAAACTATGATGATTGTGTTACACCTTTGCCTGCTCATGATGATGGTGTAGTGCAGGGGCTTGCAGATGGCCACATAGCGGTCATAGGCCATCCCTGTCAGAATGAAGATCTCTATGCCTCCAAAAAAATGGGTGGTGAAGAGTTGTACCATGCAGTTATTATAGGAAATGGTCTTTCTTTCTGCCAGTAAGTCAACTATCAATTTGGGGGTCACTGTGGATGTGTAGCAAAGGTCGGAGAGTGAGAGGTAATTGAGGAAGAAATACATGGGTTGGTGAATGAGCTGAGTGCAAGTAATAGAAATCATTATGAGTAAGTTTCCCACCCAAATAGCAATATAGCACAACAAAAATAATACAAAGCAGAGGAATTCAATGTTCTTATTTTGGGAAAGCCCCAAGAGAATAAAGACAGTGATATTATTGCTTTTTTCCATGGTCCAGTGAAGACAGAACATGTAAGTCACCTGAAATGACATAATTCACAAGCTTACACTTACAAGTGTTTGTTGAGAAATGTAATGATCATATTCTATTCGAGGAACTAGCTAGATTTAATTAACCTCTTTCAAGTGGCTCAGAGAGTAAATATCTGGTATTCAGTTAAAATGGTTCACTAATGAAACTCTCCATGAATATATACTAGATGATTTCCATTAGCTCTTCCAGCAAATTGTGATCAATCCCTGCCCTAGTAGGTATGAATTCTATTGTTCAATCAACAATATTAAAATTATATCATAGAGAATATTTATTTCCAAAGTTGAACATAATATACAATATTACAATACAAAATAATTCCTTGCAAAGGATATTGTTTTTACTCTCTGGGACTCAAAATTTATTAAGGAAACAGGTCATACAAATATTATTTTTAAATAATGTGGACAATTTATTGAATTGACCTCAGCACTAAGCATCAGCAATATTGATATCGAACAAATATGATTTGATTGCATAAACTAAAGCCAATGTTGTAGGTGGTGACCAAACATATTTTAAGTTGTTAGAATCCTGGATGTGACTGAAAAGATGACACTGAATTACTAAAAATGTGTTTCATTGCTTTCTAAAAATAATTTTACATCAAAGTATTTTAATTCTTACTAGATGTCCTCAAAAGGACTGTCAATTTATAGTATACATTTTCAGCCCTAATCTCATTCTTGACTTCTCAATTAAACCCTCCTTAAATTTCTTCCTCATCTCTCCACATTACCAAATTAACCAATACAGTGTTACCAATACAATGACTAATTGCATTGTAATAGACATTAAATTTTTAAGACATTCATTTTCATAGTAGAATTTTAAGAACTAGAATTAAAGGTACTTTTTTGGGATATAGGTTATTAGTTTATCCATAATCAGACTAATCTTTGCCAATAAATAAGAAAGGCAATTTCATTTTATTTTAAGAAAATAATAATATTGAATATACTACTAGTTTGAATTATTCTTCAAATTTCTTCTTGTACATTTCCATTTTCACAAATTTATATTTGTTATTTAAAATCCACGTGAAATATGAAATATACTTCTTAACCGCCATAAGGATATTAAGACTTTTACATAAAATTAAGCCTCTAAGTAAAATAAGGCTTTGAATGTTCTCAGACAAAGCCAATGCATCAATCTGTCTCCATTTATTGTAAGTTTACTAAAAACATCATTTGAATCCCTGTAATTGTTGTCTTGGTTTCATCAGCTAGAGCTGATGATTAAGTTCTCTACCTGGAAAGTTTTCTTCTTGGTTCAACTTCTTTTTTTTTGGGGGGGGGGGTTTAATGTTTATTTACAGGAGGCTGCAAGATATGAAATTCCACATAGAAATAAGAAACGTAGCCAGAGGACAAGCTTCATACAGTATGTACAGTTGGAACTGTTCAAGTATAGTTTCAGTGTAAAAAGTGCTACAATAACAAACCACATTTAGAAAGAGTTCTTCGTAGAGAAACAGGAAGACAAAATACCAAACATAGTACACAACAGATTTATACCTCAGCTACATGATCTAAAAGTTAAAGGTCCCAGGAGTCCCATCCTGAACTTGGAAGGTATAGCCTTCAGAGGTAGTTTCTGGCACAACATTTTGATCTTCCTCTTCCTCTACAGAGAAATACTTCTCAATTAAGTTTAATGAAGCTTTATACACAGACTCATTTTCATGGTTTTGCAGAGCTTCAATTTTGTCTAAGCCTCCACATTCTTCAATAATTATACTAAGTTTCTCAGTTTCACCTAGTTTCTCAGCAGCCTGAAAGATATTTGAAATGGCATCCAGGATAACTAGAATAATCTTGGTATCTTTTGCAGTTAAGATGTTCATCAATGGTTCTATTACGCCACAATGAACAAGGTACACAATCTGTTCAACTGTTCCACCACTGGTATAGTTGGTCACAGCCCATACAGCTTCCTTTTGTGTCTTAAAATCTGCCTTAGAAAGAACACTGACAAGGAATGGGACTAATCCATGATTCACAACTTGCTGTATCTGGTCCTGACGGCCAGCTGTGATGTTTGACATTGTCCATGTAGCTTCCTTCTGAATGTTAGTTTTGGGGTTGGTGAGCAGGCTGGGAAAGACGGCAAGCGCTCCTGCATCGATCACAACTTGAGTCTGTTCATCTGTACCAGTGACAATATTCCCTATGGCTCGTAGTGCAGGAGTCACAATTGGCAATTCAGAAGCTCCTAGAAGCTTCACAAGTTGGGGAACAACTCCTGTTTTCACGACCATGTCAATTCGTTCATTTGGACCATCAGTAAGGTAGGAAATAGCCCAGCAGGTATCTGCTAATACTTCTGGATCATCATGATGCAGGAGCCTAACTAAGGTAGGAAGAATCTGCTCAACAGCATCTAACGGAGGTGCAGGATTCTTGTTGCGGCAAAGATTTGAAAGCGTCCAGGTAAGATTACGTAAGTAACCACATGCCAAAGATGACATATCGGGAACTGCAAGAAGAGCCAAGAGTGGGTCAACTGCACCGTACTTAATAACCAAATCTCGGAACACTGAGCCATCACCTACAATGTTTCCTAGAGCCCATACAGCTTGTTCACTGATGTGAGCATGGGGAGATGCCAACAGAGAAATGAATGCTGGGATGGCACCTCCATCTACCACAGCCTTGGTTTGTTCTGATGTCCCAGAAGCAATGTTAGTGAGTGCCCAAGCAGATTCAAACTGAATGGGACTACATTCAGTTCTGCCCAAGAAGGACACAAATTTTGGAATCATACCAGCCTGGATTATGTTGTCTATGGGGGGCTGTTTTTCTCTAGAAAGTAGTTTCCTGGCAGCTTGGGTAGCTTGGAGCTGATTTTCCACATTGTTGCTATTTATGCCTTTGACAATGTCATCAACAGACCAATTTACAGTGCCCTGGTTGTTGCGGTTTTCCTGCAGTGGAGAAGTAGCATCATCAGGAAATGAGCTTACATTTCTCCTCTTCAGCATCTGATCATCCTTCTTAGCTTTCCTCAGCTCCACATTGACTTCTATTCTGCGACGCCTCATTTCTGTACTGTCTTTTCCCTTGTTCTTGAATCTGTTAAGACGGGCAGCTGGTGTATGTGCATTCTCGTTGGTGGACATGGTTATGAGACAAAGGGAGAAAGCTGCGAAGCGGGCCCGGGCTTCCACAGGAGGCTTAAGCGGGGATCCGCGGCTGTGGGAAGGCTGCGCTAAAAGCGACCACCTCGGCTCAGCTCAAAGACCGTCGGTTCAACTTCTTTATAGACATAGAAACACCATGTTTAACTACTACAACGTTAGTGTTTATTTTTTTTAATTTGCTGGTAAAAATATAATCATGCTTTATAATTTGGAGGCAATCCCTGTTACTTGTCTTAATTTAGCCGCTAACTTCAAATATAACCTTCAAATTTATTAACTTGCTTTAAAATGCTTTATCTTCATTTTAAATGTAAGGAAATGTATCTTCATTTTTGTAGTTAGAGACTGATGCTGAAGCTTAACCTCAGTAATCGGTGAGAAAGCATATTTAAAAGAATAAAATAGTGGACAAGGGACAATATCATTGTGCTAATATTAATGTATCACAAAGAAAAATACATTAAAATTACATTAGGATTCTAGTTATTTGGGAAATTGTGCATAGTAACATAAATGGTATATAGCAAACTAAGGCTTAAAATCTGAGTTTTCTGACTTCAAAGCCTGAGTTTACAACCATCTCATTGTACGTCCATGAAAAAAATGAGCAAATTCACACAGGATAAGCTGAACATTAATCCTGACTGTCCCAACTCTGAAGTTTTCATACGTACCTGAATTTCTCACGCAAAATAGAATGCCTCTTGATTTTCAGCCATTGCTTCACTTTAGACACTCAAACTTAAATGGACAATGTCTAAGTTGAAATATAAACTATGAATTAGGCCAAAGTATCTACTAAAAACACAAACTGAATCAGTTGAAGATTCCTACATAGGCCAGCTCTAGAAAGTCACTAAAGTACAGCTCACATACTTCTGTAGGAAGAAAGATATCTTTTGTTCTCTCGAGCATGAATAGCAATACTGCATTTTCAGCTATTGTCCATGTAAGAAAAATTGCTAGGGGAAAAGTGATTTGAGTATATACCCTAATACTGCCACTTAGATTTATGACCTTATATTCTTGGCCCCTATGTTTCCCTTCTGCAAAATGAGGAAGCTAGCCTCAATTGTATCTAAGAATTCTTCTCACAATAATGTCATTTTCAGAATTACTTTCTCTTTTGTCAAAGTGTTTCAGACTGTCTCTCAAGAGCTGTAACGGCATGTCCCTTTTCTCACATGCGGTCTTCCAAGAGAGTAGGCAGTATTATCCTTTGACATTGATTGTATTTCCTAGAATATGTCATCTCATCCCCAGTGGACAACCAAGTCCTCCTTAATTTAGTGTTCATTTAATCCTAATATGTCTTAGTACATAGGATTTGCAGCACAGCCTGTTTAAAAATTAGCTACTGCTGAATATTATTTCTTAAGGAGTAAAAAAAATATTTTCAACAAATATCACAAATTTATGAGGGTAATGCTAAGTGAGAAAAAAATAATTTTTTTACATATGCTCTGAATTTATTTGGAATCTATTCCTTTTACCTTTACAGTCGATTATGTCCTCTCTTCATTGAAATTAGTCATTCATTTACCATTTAAATTGTTTCTTTGCAACATCTGACTTGATATCTTCTCCAGCATGTTGAGTGCTACCAATATTTCACTTCCTATTTTCCCCAATTTATGCACAAACAAACACAAAATTTATACCACGTTAGTAACTACTATTACCTGTCATATCACCAAATCAAACAAATGATGAAGGCCACCCCATAGAAAAAAGTTTGAAGGCAAAAGGAGTACTTGCCTTGTTTTCAAAAACTACTCAAATCACGTTCCAAATAGAACCAAATGATTTCTG